TGAAATATTTTGAAATATTTAGAAATATTTAGCTGATGAAAAGGTACGTACGTATGCTATTTAAGATTTTTAATACAAGGGGATTATTTGTTTTTTTCAGGATGTCGATATTATACCGATATTAGTAAGTTTGTAATTCTATCGGGTGAAAGAGATTGGTAGATTTGGCTAATAACTTAATACGCTAAATGCCGATGAACTTTATAGGTACGTACATAAGTGTTACTAAGATTTTGTCGTACGCAAGTCAAACACCCTGATTGATGAACCTATCGCTATGATTTATGCAGGGGGCGTTTTTAAAATAAACTTAAGATTCATTCAAATACGCATTTAAGAACGGTAAAAGAATAGTACGTATGATAATCTAAGCGGTTTACATAGATTTTACTTATATATAGTATTAAAAATGCAATATATAGTATAGTAGATTCTATTCATTGATCATATGGATAGACTGTAATATTGTCGTTATACAATATTATGTGCTTATTAAATAATTTATAATTTCTATCATTTCAAGGGTCATCTGTTTATAAAATAGTTATTAATCAATGATGTTGTGCTTTATTAGTCTTACCAGAAAATCGAAATAATTACAAGAATATTATTAATAAGTGTATGGTAAAAATTTAAATCGATAACATCTTGGGTTAAGATTAATATTTATTGAAAAAATAAAAAAAAAAAATAAAAAAAAAGAAGCGAAATAAACTTATTACTATTATTATATATTAATTATTTTTTTAATTTTATTTAGTTATATGGTTTTTTTTTTTGTTTTTTTTCCTAAAAGATATATTATAAAATGCATTATAATATATGGAATGTGGAAAGTTCATAGTTGAAAAAAGATGAATGATGGATGGTGATAGATGTGTGTTAAGAATATTTACATGCAAGCAACTCATAAGAGTTTATCGAATCTTGGACTATACAATAAATTTAACAAAAGTTTAAAAATGAATAAATGTGAATTGATAATTTTTATCGGCGCCTTCACAAATTCATATGTGATTATTAATAAAGCGCAGCTCTACAATAGGCGACGACAATATAAGTAATTACTGCTGTCAATATAAGAGCGTTCCAAATACATCGTCTACCCCATATTATTGTCGTTTGATCTTTTCCGAATATACTATAGACGGTTCCAACATACCAAAGTGGCCATATTAGAAAACCGAAAATATATAATTTTTTAGTGACCGGCCAAGGTTGCTGTGGTTCGATCGGTACAAAATCCCAAGGTAAATTAGCATCAAATTTAGGATGTGGATATTGTGGTGGCATATCGATTTTAGCGTGATCATATGATGGTAAGGAAGTTTGTGAATTATTTAATGATGGAATAGGGTTCGTTGAATCTGAAGATACGTGTGCAGAAAACGGAATCGTTGGTGGTGATATTATCACTTCTTCTGTGGAATAGACTGGTGGTCGACTTGATGTTGATCTGATCGACCTTGTATCTTCTGAATCATGTGTGGTTGTGTTTTGCGGTGAGAGGGAAGTGATATTTTGGGAATTTTCGTTTTGTAAAGTTACAGATTCATTTATTTCTGTTAGAGTTTGTTGATTAATTAAAGTCATTATTTTATTTGTTTTATATTAGTATATAATTTTAAATATTTCTCGCGTTATGAATTAAAAAAAAAAAAATTAAAATAAAATAAAGATTGTTTCAAAATTGTAAGAATTGTAAGGTATAAGTAACAGAAAAAGGCTATTTATAAGTATTTTAGTCGTGAATCAAAAATTGGACCATAAGTAAACAATCACCAATCTCAAAGGACAATGTGAATACGTAGTGAATAATGCATTACTTATTATTATTTGTTTTAGTTTCGGAGCAAATACTAATTGAATATTTAGCTAGTTCGTGTAACATAAAACAATATCTATACTAACTAAATACTCGCTAAGATTAACGTATATGTATTATCGTAAACCTTATCATCAAAATTACCTATTATTTAAAATGGAAGGATATTATTGTTCTACGTATGGTTTCAACCAACGAAAATGGAATCATAACTAAGTATGTATTTGGATAAATTAGTCGAAATGGTAAAGCAAATATCGGTATATTGTCTATTATTAGTTCATCTGTGCAACCTAAGAATATTTATTACCTTCATGAACAATGTAAATTTACAAAGATGCAATCTTATTATTATTATTATTCTTCTTCTATTATATTTTAATTATTAACTATCCTTATGTGTTTCTTTAACGTAACAATCTTGCAATATGTAACGAAATAAACCATATATTGAGCATCAAATCCTCATTTAGTGGATACCGTTTACCAAATTATTGGTATTCATAATGACGAAAAACGCATTAGTTTATGTTATTATGTATAATACCATAATTGTGTTATAAGGATACATTTCTTTTGCTAAATTGAGTATTTAAATATTCGACTTAATATTTCCTCAAGAACAATAGCATTTTCGTGATTATACGGTATTTGTTGATCTAAAGATCATCATTTATTTGTCCTTTCAGCTAATACCATATATATATATCAATTAACGTTTATTCTACGCATTTAATCGATTGCTTATTCTTTACGCATCACATATGACACGACGTGATAGTGTAACGATATTTTCTACTGTATTATTATATTTTTAACTGCTACGTATCGAAGAAATCTTTTACTTACGTGCGTGCATATAAACAACATCTTATAATTATTTGTAATGCATCTGGTCAGCCTTCACATGTCTTTAACAAACAACTATAATATTTCTAGTTTTTTGCTTTTCATGTTTCTCCTTCATAGACCTTTTATAGACGGATTTCCTTTCGAAAATGCTTATTAGGTAATCCTCATGAACAGTCAAGTTGTAAATGAAAGTTTTTTTTTAATCATTATACAGTATATTTAACAAAATTTATATTAGCATTAGGTTTAAAGTTTTACTTAAAAATTTATTCATAACCTTTTGTAATCTAGGGTTAGTATTAGCAATTATCTATTTCTAGGAAAATTAGTATTAGATTTTGTAAAATATATATAGTAAGATTATAAAGTTCAAATAAAAATTTACAAATAGATGTTAGGTATAACAATTAGGGAGTAATTTAACTAGGTAAAGCTTTCAATAAATTATAATTAGTTTTATTGTTGGCATAAAGTAATTAGTAAATTAAACTTGAATATAAAATAATATCTAATATGTATTACTGCATTACTGTAAAATTTACAAAGATGCAATCTTATTATTATTATTATTCTTCTT